GTAGTTCCTTGATTAGCATATATTTGCTGCTTGATTGTGTGCCTGGTGGTAATCAAGCTGGTGGTAAGTAGCTTCAAGGACTTTGTAAACTGAAAGGGACTGTAACTATTAATTGTAAATAAACAACCACATAAATGAATAAAGAAAGGTAAGTGAACATTAAACAGACTAATACTAAACCAATGACCTCACATAAAACTGTTTCCACCATGTCTCTTGACTTACTACAACAATTATGATCCTATGTTTATAAAGATTATGCTATTTTTTAAAATGAGCAATATTGTAATGTGTAGACTTGATGGTCACAATGACATAACAGTTTGTTAGGTGAATTTCTGTCATCTAAATATCATACATTCATGAGTTGCAATAATCGGCTATACATCAATTTGATGTATACTCAAATTTGGTATGTAACACCAGTCAGATGAAATTTTTTTAAAAAAAAACTAATGAAGGTTAAGCTTAAGGATAAGCTTAATGTTTAAAAGTATGTTCCCAACATTAAAATGGAAGTTTGTAGATGTGAAGTTTCATTCCTGATATGATTTGAAGCATTTGGGAATAGTTTGCTTCATTGGACAAAACTCTCTGTCAGGAAATACTATGAAACATAACAAACATATCAGAACTGGGATGACTTCTGCCACTCAGGTGAATTGTTTCTTGAATTGCAGGCTAAGGTTCAAACCATTCTGGAGTTTTAAGGCATGTAGTGACAGGCAGTATGTATTTATATTAGGCAGCTTTGATGTCTATTCTACTCTTGGCTTCAAGTTGTGTGTGCCACTGGCTTGATGGCTAACAGCCATGTAGAACTAGCTCATATGACATAAGCAGAGCCATAATATGATTTTTTTTAACAAAATAGTTAATGTGTGAAATATGCCTACATGCATGGACACAAAGGTGGAAGTGGGTAGGAAAGAGAAGAGGCTCTTTGGTGACCAAAAAATGATTAGTAGGAGAAATTGGCTTCAGGAGGAAAAATGGAAAAAAGATCCAAAGGCATAACAGTAGTGATAACTCTCTGGCTCAGGCTTGTCTGCATTCTATTTCA